CTCATATTTTCCTCCCTTCAACAATTATATCAGCTGCACCCTCAGCTGAGTTGAAGATCCTTCACCGTGGTGGCAGCCACCTAATTCATTCGAGTTCAAAATGAGTCGGCCACTGTCAGACTGTCCAAGTCATGCTAAGGATGTAGCCCGAAGCAGAAACTTTGTCCCTGGGAGATGCCACGGCCGATCTAGTATATCAAATAGAACACATCAATATTCCAACAGACATTTGGTAGGGTTGTACAAATCACTGAAGTCGGGCCTATCTCAAAACAAGAGTTCATCAAACTCATACTTAACATCCTCCTCAAGGTCATCAAACCCATTGTCCAATTCTTCCTCACCCTCAATGTCATCATGTTTGCCTTCTGATTCCTCATCAGCAAGGTCAATGTCCATCAGTTGTTCATCATCAGCTTCATCATGGTACTCACCATCACCTCCACCTTCATCGACATCCATAGCCTCCACCAGTGCTTGGAGGCCAAAACAGTCTCCAACAGTCCTCCACAAAGCTACCGGATGTCCTACGCCCAGGTCGGTGTGACGCAAGAACATGTTGTGATTGACAAAACTAGCCCTGGCAGGTAAGAGTTCATTCAGTCTCAAGAAAACACATTGCACTCACATCCCAATGTAATACACTTCCCAGTCATCTAATTCCCCATTATGATGTGCTAGTGATTTTCCATGGCGATGTAGAGACTCGCGTTTCTGCAGGCTCATATGGGCTCATTTTACGAATTCTGACAACTGGCCTTCATGGCACAACTCGCACCATCATCCACTATGACTTCCCTATAGAGCGCACCACTTTCCCGCAAAACGTGCCATAGGCGCGATACTTTCCCGCACAATGCACAGTATTCCCGCGTGCGCGCTTAAGCGCACTATGTCACACAGCATCCAGGAGCATCCATCCATCATCCAACCAGTCCCTCAGTATGTCCCTTTTCGTTATCTGACCATATTTAGCATATTACACTTCCCATTTCGTTATGCACCCTTACTTTACATCACCTTACCTCATTTACATACTTAGAGCGCTCCCTATTCGGCTCCGAGCCCTGGGAGAGCGCTTAGGTAGAACTTACATACACTCATGTTCGTTTTACACCCCACTTTACCAACAATTCCACCTTACCTTCCTACCACTCAGTATCTATCACCAGTTAGTTCCATGCAATGCATGTATCCATCATCATCTTGAGGCCCTAGCATCAGTCTATAGCTAGTGGCACTATCAGTATCTGTCTAGATCCGCACTTTTCCCCTTATCAGTCTCAGTATCCGTCGTCTACACTTGTGCACCACTTGCACTACCTTCCCGCACTCCGCGCACTTTCGCATTCCGCTTTCCCGCACTCCGCGCACTTTCGCATTCCGCTTTCCCGCGCGCGCCTTCAGCGCATTTCTCGCACTTTCACCGCCATTCACCAGGGTTGTTCAGCATCATTCCGTGGATCCTTGCTTTCCTTGCTTCCCCTTTAGGGTCGAACGTTCTTGCATTCTGCGAGTATAGCAGCTAGGCAGAGCTGAGACTCACTTATACTGGCTGAGCACTTTTCTTATATGTGCCTGCCAGGTTGTGATACCCACAGCGAAGTGAGCTTGAACTGTGCCCTGAAGTGAATGTAGGAATCAAATGTATTCCTCAAATCACTTGGCCAAGATCAAGAAATCCGAATGTGTCATGGTCCAACTCTTCAATGAATGCTACTTTAGGAAAGCAAGCACATTGCATGCCAGACCCATACAACATCAACGGTGCAAGCCATCTGACATGCAGAACCTCGAGTTGCTGTTTTTTGGTTTCACCACCGCCTTCAAGCCAAGTGTCCATGTGATAGATACCCAGTATATGAGCATACAAATATGGGTGGGTGGGAGCACTTTCTCCTGAAAGCACCATCACGTCTCCATGCATTTTTGGGTTGATGGCATCATACTTGCGCCTCATGTTGTATGTTGTATAATGTATCTGCATGGTCTGAACTGAATAGATGGTATTGTTAGGAATGATGACTGTTTCGCATTCCTGGTCTGTAAATGCGTGGTCACAGTGACTAACGTCCAACTTCTTCAGCCTATACAGAATGTGGTCCTTCAACCTCGGGATGAAGTTCTGCAAGCTGTCATGAGTGTCCAACTAGCAGAAAGTGTAATGTTATATATACCTTGATTGCTGGATCACCATCATTTTCCTGGAGGAATGCAAACAACGAGATTGGATTATTTCTACTTGTTGAGATAGAATGATGGTCCTGAATCAACGACTTGGACATAGCAAGAGAGTTGGTCGGATATTCATTACCTGAGGAGGACATATCTGCTGCTTCCTTCATTCGCCATAACACACAGCACCGGCGCTCATGCTTCGCTAGCTGCGCTGGAGTATCTAGTTTGCAAGTTAGTGGATATAACACTTTTAAAGCTCTGTGCACCAGCTCCCCCTAACTAATAACATAACTTCAGAAGTATTCTTGAGTATAGGAAGAAGACGATGCCTACAATTTGAGTGGTGAAAGAATCAGTAGTCCCAAAGAACTTAATGGTTTGCGTGTAATCACCCATTGCATGAAACTTGTAGGTGTTTAGATTGAACTTTTTCACCCTCGGCCTGCCATTAGATGCTGAAGAAGCGCTGTTGTGTCCAACACATTTGGCGAGCTGTTGCTGACAAGCTGCCTTCTCTTTTGGTAATTCTGAAGTGTCAAAAGCAGCACAGGTAAACTTGCAGAAATTCTGCAACTGCCTCGAGAGCTTTTGAATGTTGAGTCAAGGAAACTAAGAGTCGATTCTGAATGGATTCTGAGCTTGGCAAGTGCATGTCATTGTGCGAATCTATATAAAAGAGACTGCACAATCACGTCATGATGAGCGGGAAATAGCCCTTCAAACACAGGTATTGCACACTAAATAAAGGGCATCAGTGAACTACATAGGTAACAGTGAAGTAAAGGAATAACCTGCAAAATATCTTTGAAGTCCCGAGTGGCTAGTCGTTTCATCTCAGATGTGTTATTTGAAAAGGTTTGGATTACCCCGTTGCCACATGGTGGAACCTGATAGAATCTTTTGGTGTGATTTTTGGTGTGATACTTATTATTAGGCAGTAAAGCACTGTACAAACACTACCTACCTGGAGTCCAAGGTTGCAACTAGCTGAAGTCCTTCTGGTAGTATGTAAAGGATCCTGATGAGGTGAGTAAACAGTGCCTTCCAGGTTCCCAGCTCACATTCGTGCATAAAGTCCACGATGAGCATGTGAAAGGGGTTAAGGCCCAGTCCTCCCAGTTTCTCAACAAATTTTATTCTACGGGTTACTCGTATGAGCTGGTATGGCAGCATAAGGGACAAAAGACACTCACTACGACAGGTACCCATGAGCCCTCTCCGAGTGTCTCTTCAACCTTCACACCATCCACAGTGTTTCCCCATTGATAAATGTACTCTCGTGCCTTGACAACATTTGTTTCGATGTAGACTTGAACATTACTTATACAGCTCCTCATATCTTTGACAAGGCCTAGAGAAGCAAATATATTTTTCAGCATGAGGCAATGAGGGCAGGGGCATGAGCCCATGTCCTTCATATTGGCAATTAACACCCTGAGACTTGTTGAGTAATACACTGTATACATAAAGACGGAACACACTTTTCAGGATAGTCGGTGGAGTATGTGAATATGTGAGGAAAAATCCTGCGAAACACTCTGTCGGCACACTTTAACACAATATCATGGTGGTATGAGTGAAGAAAGTCTGTATCTAGTAAGGTATCCCAGCATCCATGAAATAACTCTCATTGACAGTGAGTGTGAAGGGCAGCCATGCCAGATTTCAATATCCAAGGCAAGCCGCTCAGAACATCTTTAATCCTATCAGGCAACTGATGGCACAAATATCAGAGTGACTTTAAACCTGTGACAGAGGAACACTTACCAAGGGCAAAAAACCTACCAAGTGACATGTGCCGGACTTTGGTGTGGAGCATGCATACTTGGTCAAATACATATTGCAAAGGTTGGATGGCCCATGTGAGATGGGTGGCTGTCCTATCCCATACAGACTGCATCCCCTGGCCGGCCATTTGGTGCTAGAGTCACAAACCAGGGCGGCCAGCCCAGGCTGCAGGCTGCAAAGTCAGGCTGGCCCATCTACAATGGGGAGCCACAGTGGTGGCTGTCCATCCCATACAGACTGCATCCCCTGGCTGGCCAGTTGGTGTTAAAGTCACAAACAAGGGCAGCTGGTCTAGATCTGCAGGCTGCCCCATCTACCATGGGAAATCACAGTGGTGGCTGTCCATCACAAACAGACTGCATCCCCTGGTTGGCCGGTTAAAGTATAGGGTCACAAGCTAGGGTGGCCGGTCCAGAAATGCAGGCTGACCTGTGTAGGATAGAGCACCATGATTGGTCTCCTTTCACTCATTAACATAAAAGATGAACATTTTAAATGAGTGAGGCTCAAATAATAGACAATATTTACAGTCATTATGTAGTAGAGTAAACTACATACATCAATTGATAAGCTCATCATGAACTTAATGTAACCAAAGATATTTCCAGACTACTTACTCAAGCAAGAAGCATGCAGGCCAACCCAGTCATATAGACTGCATGGGGAGGCTGGCTGATCAGTTTGAATGCAATGTTCAGCTGGCCGACCACCCTCCACAAATTGCAGAGGCAGCAGGCCTAATGCACCACAGTACAGAAGCCCATCAGCCGCCCCTGTCATACAGACTGCATGTGGAGGCTGGCCGATCAGTTCAAATGCAATGGCCAGCCGGCCGGCCACCTTCCACCAAATGCAGAGGCAGCAGGCCTAATCCACCATAGTGCAGAAGTCCACTGGCTGACCCTGTAACATTCTCTATATGAGGCATCAGCCTACAAGGGTTCTGCATGACCGGCCTATACAGTAAGTGCATAGACTGGCCAATGTCCTGTACACCTAGTTTTGCAGGCCAATGTACATGTCCTCTCAACAGATTATGCAGTAGAAGTGACTGAAGGGTCTGTGAACATAGGGTTCTCCACCTCTTTGGATATGCTATCCAAGCATTGGGCCAAGTGATCTTCGACATCTTCAGAGTCCAGGTTATCAGGCTTGGGGAACAACATCCGCTCAGCGCTAACCTCCTCCAGATGATCAAGCTGCATGTCTGCTATATGGTGCACCGTGAAATCATGAGTGTATGCAGCAACAGTGAAATCTGCGTCATCCTCCAGCTGCTGCTCAGAATGTTTGACCAACAACCTTTCAAAGAAGGAAGCCTCTGTCAGGCTCGCAATATACTGTTCTGCATTGTCCCTCATAATTGTTTGAAGAAGGACTACATGCTTCTCGGTTGACTCAAGTTCCCAAGCTGTTGCGAGAGCGCGCTGTCCTGCATAATTTGGGAATCATGCATGGACATGACTACTAGGTATCCCCCTAAAAGACAAAGTCTGTTAGCTTAGTCCTCATACTAGTCAACCCATACCTTGGTATCAAACCCTGGTCCAATAGTTTCAGTTTTCCCTCAGTGATTCATGAATCCACCATGTTTTGAAGAAAAGTCATATGTGAGATGGGAATCACATAATGACCTAGTTGATATGAGAAGCAAAATGAAGGTTAAGGTATTGCATTTCATTTGGCTTATTCACTTTGGCTAGAGAAACCCATAGAGAAAAGTTCAAAGCCTAACAAAAACCTATCTAAAAAGCCCGCGTATTGTGTACTATTATTTGTTCCATTATTTCTGAGTTGTTTTCTCTAGTGTTTCTTTACTTTACTTTTCTATTAGGATGCTCTGACTAATCAGATGCTTCATAAAATTGTACCTACAGGGTATGATGTCATAATGATGTCATAGGACTTCACCTACACTCCTGCAGGTATTTTGGTTGAAAGATATGATATCATAGTGATGTCATAATGATATCATGTTCCATGGAATTTGCTAGAACATTCCAATGACTCATAATGACTCATAGTGACTCATAGTGACTCAGAATGATGTCATTATCCCACCATGAATATTCTGGAATGTTCTTTTGCACCTGCTAGAACATTCTGCTCCAGTTTTTGGAATATTCTTCTCACATTCTGAAGTCATTACATCACCTTTTTACTTACATAATATTCCCACACAAAATGTATATAAGGAGAGCCCATTCTCCCCCCCAAAAAATAGAACTCCCACTTGAGCAAATTGAACTCTCACCTAAGAAGCTTCAGTCTGAACAAATTGCTGCTTACAAAGCCCATTTCCTTTGTAAGAACTGTCCAGACAAGTGCAGGGAAAGTGTTTCCCTTGAGATTACGTAAGTTTCTCGCGATAGAAACCCAGTTTTGTGAGACCAGTGTTCTCACCACGTAGTGTTTACTGACCAACACGAGCTTTGGTCAACATTGTTATTTGTGAGACCAGCGTTCTCACCAGGTATTTGTATATTGACCAACACGAGCTTTGGTCATTGTTGTTATTTGTCACTGTTTTTTATTTGTCATTGTTGCTATTTGTGAGACCAGCGTTCTCACCAGGTATTTGTATATTGACCAACACGAGCTTTGGTCCATGTAGTCACATTTGAGACCAGCTTCTCAACAGTTAACCATATATTCAGGAAACCAGTTCAAGTGTCTAGACGGTATATCCTAGACAATCCCATAGTTTCAATCAGAGATAATAAAGCTCCGGCTAAGTTAATCTGACTGATTGGTTTAGCGAGCCTCCCAAGAACTCACACATTATCTACCACGAAAGAAGAAAAGTCGTAGACCATGTTAATCAAGGACTGGCAAGAAGTCTTATCCAGTGTAATTGTGGTGTCATTACATTCTTACACGTATTTATATAAGACCCTCGGTTATTAAGACAGCGCAACTGCTTGGATTTGGCATCAGCTCGTTTTGTGATGACAGCTGACTGGACCATTGCATCTGTCATATGCTTCATGCCTTTCTTGAATATCTCCTTGCCCTGTTTTAGTGCTTCTCAATATGGTATAAACTGCAGTATGAATGAGGCCAGCATACCTGATGGACATCTATTTGACTAAGATCAGCCTCATTGCCTTTCAAGATATTTTTCATCGTAAAACAGTGCTCCAGTGCAGTAGGAACATGCCTCCCAAGCTGATAGGGCTTAAACCTTGAGGCAGCACATTTTGCATAACAAGACATGTGGGATGTTATGGGAGGAAGGCTCATGGACACAGTTGCATAAGCTGAGGAATGGGAGGGGTTGTCTGAAAGGGATCATTGGTTGGAGTCGATGGGTTCCATTATCCTATTGTGATCATCGCAAGAGCCCTTGCCAACACTTTGCGTGGATTGGATATAGTCAAGTCTAGGAGAGCCTGAGGGATTAGAGCTAATGGAAAGTGAGGAGAGCATGGCAGAATGGTTAAGGTGAGCCAAAGGACCCTCGGAACTTCAAGGTCATATCAATGATTTCGTCAGCAACAATATCAGGTAATATGATCATGGTGAGCGGAGTTTTAACAACTGGCTCTCTAGATATCTCCTGGTTAGGGTCGTCACTGCCCATTGGAGAGGGCCACACTGGACAAGGGACTCGAACCAAGCAGAAGGCAAAAGCAGATGAATGGGGTGAAGACTGACTACAAACATGCACTAGGTACATATACCTAGTGCCTCAAGGCCCAGGCAGGACCCCTGGCACCTCAGGCAGACCCCTAGGAGCCAAACCTCCCTACTAAACCGTGAAGTTCGCAGTACGCACTTAAGGCATTAGTAAATAATCCCAGTTCAGTATCACTGCACCATACCTTTATTTTTTGGATGCTGCAGCATTGCTGAACTGATCTCATGTGATAAGCCTTCCGCCCAGATGGACTATAGTACTATATAGACGATTAGCTATTTCTGAGCCATGACTCGGCGGGCATTTTGCAGGAACTTTTGTGCACCTACCAGTTTCCACAAAACAGCAAATGTGACTCCGAGAGTGCTGGACAGATGTATTTCACAAGGAACTTCTGTGCACCTGGCACCAAAACAGCAAGAAGTTCCAACATGACAGATGGCAGCATTTTGCAGGAACTGTTGTGTATCCCACATTTACTAGTACATGCCAAAACAGCAAGAGTGTGACTCACCTTTCTAAGAATCTGAGTGCTGATAGTAGTCAGTGTCAGCATTCTTCGGAGTTTAAATCTCAGGGGTGGCCTTTCTCAAATAACCTTGTCAAAGAGGGCATATGATCTTAGATTTATTTAGAAATACCGTTTGAAGTTATGAAAAGCAGAGAGATCACATTCTAAAACATCTTGAATCTGGATAAAAACCCAAGTATGTACCACCGTCAGCAATGGTAGTCACTAGCAAAGCTGGCTGGTGTCCAGTTCAGATGAGTCCAAGTCGTATGCTGGCTATCACCAACTGCCATGACATGGTGGTACCAAGCCTGAGTCCCCGGGTTGTCTGGCTCAGAGTCTTGGCTCGCCTTGGAAGACTCACTTGAAATAGGAAGGCGCCACGTTGTTCTCAAGGCTTCGAAGGAATTTCTCCCGCTGACATTGATTAAATGAGTGACAATCCCTGCATGAAATAATGGTACGATTGAAATCATGTCAGTCTTATCGAGAATATCCATGTACAAGATAGCCTATAAGTAGGATCACACAGATGCTAACAAGCAATCAAAAGTGGGTATTAAAAGTGAGGAGAATCAGTATGGTAAGATAGGATGAGATGTTATGAATTGCAGATTATTGAATGGTGGTCGTGATGGTATCACAGATGATCGCTAGCTGATACTGCTCATCTAGTGCAGTACTGGATAGCGGCAGAGCGAGTAAAATACTGCAAGTCAACACAAAAGAAGTGATGCACCATTGTGACCCTACTAGAGAGCTGGCTATTTTCATTACTCGGTGTTGTCAGCTTATCCTTCGTTTTACCTTTCTCCTCCCTCCTTGCCTTCACACGTTCCTCCTTCATTGAGCCGTTAACAAACACAGCTGTGAAATGTAACACAGCCCCTCCGACATCCCAACCTTCTCTGTGTAAATTTACTACTAAAATGTGCTGGGCAGTTTGCAGATATAATATTCCAGGCTCCTTCAGCGTTGCTGCATACTGCGGAACTCCATAGCCAGGATAGCAGGAATGGATACTGGCAAGAACCTTGTCGATGTCTTGTGGTGGCTTCACCATCCGTTTCTTCTTCATCGCTCTCCATGTAGAGAGCAAATGTCCTCTTGAGTGGTTGAGGAGATATAGGATCATTACCTCACTGTTCAGAAAGTGTACTATTACTAGAAGTCCACATATCATTAATGGCAGATGAAAGGTGGACGTGATTATGAATGACGGGCAATAGTGAGTTCAGTGGGTACATGTTGAAGGGACATTCTTTCCTTACGTGTCTTGCAAATATCGTGGAAATGGGGTGTACTGGGTAGAGTAATGCAAGCATTGTTTGGATCTCGAGTGTTGTACTAAAATTCATCAGCATTGTGTCTCTAGCATGCTTGTAGGCATATAGTAAATGTGTACCATGTACAAGGTATTTAGCCCATTCCTGGAGGTCTTGGGTACATAGTGGGTAGTGTGGAGCATTTGGCTGTGATGCATCCACCCAACAGAATGTGTTCTCTGAACCTCCCGGAAGTCAATGCTCAGAGCAGCACAACTTCCGTTTGACATTTTCGAATTCCTCCGTATATAGCAGAAGTGATGGATTGGACATCATCAAGTTCTGCTTGCCCGCAGAGCACATACCTGCTTGTCATTTAAACGACTTCTCTTTAGCACAGGCATCTGCCACAGGTGACTGTCATGGCCATATTGTACAGATGAACAAAGCACTTACAGTGTTGACAATTTCAATCGCAACTTTCTTCTTTTTCCATCCAGAGGTTTGCTTAGCCCATGCGGCTTTGAAAGTGCTGCTAATATCTTGGGAAGTTAAAAGGCGATGTGGAGGGTCCACACGACAGGCAGTAGACAAACGCCAACCCAAATTCTCGTAGGTTTTTGGAAGATCCATTGCAGCTCTCATAGAGTCTAATATATCCAGGGGAAGGTCTGATTCGGCGTAAAAGTGGTCCACATAGGTCGTAGATTTGTTCTTGTCCATGGTATTCAAAGGGATCCGAAACTCGACTATTAATCCAATGTGAGTATCTCAAATACATCACCTGAGAACGAGTGTTAGAATTACCCTTCTCAAGCCCTTTGTAGTCTGTGGGAACATGTCCTTGATCATCGACATCAGGCAGCTCTTTGTGGGCACCAAGGAGATATGCTGCAGTTTGAAGACGAGTGCACCGGCGAGTAGATGGCATAGAATCAATGATGCTGTTGATATCCCGCGAGAGAATCTCCTGATTGTCACACATTGTGCACCAATGTCGGGTTATGTAGTAGATATACTTTGCTCACCTGACCTTTATATGAATCCAGTTGAACTGGTCACAATGTTGACTTCACTTGAAGTACAAATTTGCAAACTTACTGAGGTCTCACCATGATTGCCTAAAAAGACCTAGTCTGGTTATGGCACTATCGATACCATCATTGATATAGTATTGCGCTTGATCTCCACTTTTAGACATCCCGGAACATGAGCAGGGCTGTGTGAAATGCAGAAAGGCTACCAGCACTGAGTCAGTCACATGCATATTGCAAATAACATTTGGTGGCCCGAATATTACAAAAAATGTACTAGTAGATCCGTATCATAGCTTTGCCATCACTGTGACAGTCTTTACACAGCAGTCACAGCTTGGCTCAATACGAAGTATATCGAGGGAGTTCTGACTAGATTAGAAACATCATGTCACGTCCTATGATCTGTCATCCTCATAATGGCGCCTGATTCTGAGATGGATCGTTGCCATCAGTTACGGTAGATTCGCAAATTAAAATCATTAAACTACTAGGTACCCCTCGCTGAACGTGTGTCACGCCAATATCAAACTCTTGGAAGTGACAGCGTACTACATTTGGCCATGGGCGAAAGGACAGACAATCTCTCGAGATCAAGCTCCGCCTCGAAGCTTCTGACATAGTTCAGAGAATCTCTGCTTTCCTGTGGATAATATCATTGGATGGTACTCTACACTAAAGACATAGTGTGAACCTGGAAGACCTGGAGGAACTCATTGTGAGTTGGGCTCCTATTGGTTCTGTCTGTGGCATAACCGGAGTGATTGGTTCATATAAGTCATAATCAGGTTAGCTGCAATGTAGAAGGTGGAAGAACTATCTTTGGGTCCCGAGCGGCATCCTTCGATCGAGCCAGATGCATCTAGGAACAGGCCAACCCAACTTGAACAAGTGCTTTGGCACTAAAACCTTTACTACATTCCGCAGTGCTTTTAGCATGTCTCTTGATCTCCAGGACAGATCCTAAAGATGAAAAGCCCATTGTGGATAGTTGGAAAATCCAGGGGAGGGATTTATCATAGGTTCAAGTTCAACTCAAGCCTCAGCAGGTGTGCTCTGCTGTGACTCAGAGTGTCTGGACCGATGTGACAATCATACCAGCGCTAGGCACTTAGGGGAAGCGGAGAAAGCAAAATATCCACTGGTCAACTCTAGGGGGAATGCGCAAAGCGCGTGATAAGGCGAAAGCGCGGGAACAAAGGCGCTATAGGCGCGCGAAGCGCGGGAAAGTCGCGCGTCGAAAAGCGGAACTGGGTGAAAGCGGTATGCGAGCAATAGTGAGATGTTAAGACGTGTACTGAGATGCTGATAAGACAACTGATGCGGATATGGCCACTAGAGCTAACTGCTACTAGGGCTTGCGATGATTTATTCAAAACATAATAAAAACTCGGAGATGGTGACTGTCTATGATGATGGTGGTCCGTGGTAATGTGTGTTGTGTAAAGTAAAAAAAATGTGTATGAAAAATGTGTACCAAGTGAAAATAAACATGGTACGATGTTGAAATAAATGATAAATGGAGAAATGCATACCTGGGAACTTGGTTGGACATGGGAAAACACAGTGGGAAGTCAGGCGCCCTATAGCGCTTAGGCGCGGGAAAATTCGCCTAAAGCGCTATAGGCACATTTTGCCTTACCTTGAGGAAAGGAGTAAAGTGCTAGTCACCAGCGCTATTCAGCTCCCAAGCTATCCGCTTTGGAACCGCTTTTCTCCCATAGCACGCTGCCCGGCCCGACGCCTAGGTATTCCGTCCTCCCATGTCCTGCCTATGTCCACCTACCTCCGCTGGTGCGTTATTTTTCCTTCAATGTTGCTACTCATCAGTCGCAGGTCTTATTACATGTATCCTCATGTTCCGCTGTGCTGCATGTCTTATTACCTGTCGCTACATCGTGCCCTCGCCAGTGTCGCTACTATTCTCACCTACACATTCCCAAACTTTTACGCAGTATGATAAAATGACCCATCGCACATACAGTACAGTACTTCCCTTCCCCAGACCTTTGCTGGTGTCGGAGTCACTTTAGTCACTATATCCTAGTTTTGGTGCAATCGATTCCGCTCTTGCCAATCTCTCCGATCGCGCGTCGCTAAAGTTCCCTCATAAGTTTGATTTTCACAATGTCAGGATCATTGTCGGTAGTCGAGCTATAATCTAGTTGCTATCAGGCATTCCACTTGCACTATCATACCTTATTCCTCGCTTTCCCTTCTTTTAATTTCTTCTTGCTGTCGCTAGTCGGACATCGCATAACGCTATTGCATAGGACAACTTGCATAGCGCTCCTCACTTATATGCACGTTTCTCTGTTGGAACTCACTTGTCGCTAGTCGCTGACCGCTACAGCGCTACTCATTGGTTTTTGGTCTTAGGTCGCTATAGGTTATTAGCCCTTCACATCATCGCTACCCTTGCATATTTGAAGGGAGTTGCTTCAATAGCAGTCCTCTTGGGTCGAATACTACACTCGCGCCTATTTGGATAAGTAGCGCTAGTTTCTAACCAGCCTAGTCGCTATTACTCTTTCACACCGAACCCTGCAGGACCAGGTAATAGTAATGGAAGAAGAACAATGCCAGGCATCCAAGAGAATGAAGAGAGGAGCCTCAAGTAACCCCGAGTAGTAGACTCAGTGAGGCAAGTACTGAGCTGTACATGAGTAATGTGACTATCTCAGAGTGGCTGAGTCAGTGAGGTCGCACAATACGCTCACATAAGCTTGGGTACATGCACTGCCTTGTGAAAAGAAATCGTCCAGACAATCATATTTGAAAGGAGAAGGGGGGGTCACTGATGTTCCTTCTGAGGTGCGAGTGAGTGCCAAAGAAGAGCGACTTGTGACCAGGATGATGGGCCCATGGCGGCTGACAGAAAAATGAGCACACCACACGTGATGATTCCTGGTCACAGCAAATATCATTTTTGAGAACAGTCCAACTCAACCATTCAAAGCCTCCAAGTCATCCGAGTCTTTCTTTAATCGGTTTGTACTGTACAAAATTTTCATTTAAAATACAATGGGGTATTCCAAAAGAACCGTGTCTAACCATACATCATGTCACCAAGGGGAGAAACTATGATTATCAGGAGAGTAGCTAGCACCGATCCCATTTTGGTGGGAGTCCGTGTCAAAGTGGCATTTATGGGCACTGCTGTTGAACGACCTTGTCAATGTCTATGTCTTGTTGGGCAAGAGACCAGTGGTAAGGATGTGCTTGTCCTCAATGTGGTTGGCGAAGAAGTTGACAATGATGTCGAGCAGACGCATCATGAGACCGTGTTGAGGAATGATATACAGGGCGATGGATGGTGCGGTGAAAAGTTGGGGGGTGATGATTTACATAGGCCTGATGTGCTGAGGGCTACAATCGTAGGTCAGTCTCATGCAAAGGTACTGTCATAGAAGATTACAGTGATGGAGGGTCTGAAACTCATGCCAGAACCTGGCGGCAGTGACATCAGTGAATTCATGAGGGCCGGTCATGAAAAGCTGCATTAATAACCCGAATTCACAAAAGTTCTTACAAAAGACAGTGTCACAGCCGGGGACGCATGTAAACATTGTAAGGGATTTGATGGTAGTTCAACTAAGTGTATTTGGAATGTGTACGGAGCTGTTAGTAAATAGTTGTGTAAGGGCAGCTACTTCCAATGGAGTCAGAGCATCGTATAAACCAGTATAGTGGGTGTGGTGAACTGAATTTTTGGATGAATAAAAAAAGCTTTTGACATACAAACCTGACATGTGTTCCAGCAGTGCCCATCGGTAGAGGGTAGCTACCATTATAACCAATGGTTTGAAGTTGCCGTCCGGACCAACATATTGGTGGTACTGGTGTTCGCTGTCATGTAAGAAGTATGTGACCGCTGAGACAATGGCATGGTTGGCAAATGCAACCTGGTCTCCATCAGCATTCTTGACTCCATCAGCATTATCAGCATTCTCAACTCCATCAGCATTCTCGACTCCATCAGCATTCTCGACTCCATCAGCATCCTCAACTGTTAAGACCGTACTCAAGTAGTATCGGATCCGAAGGGCTTTGGCCTCAGCTCGTGCGCTGTGCCCCTTTCCCGAGTCTTGCCCCTTATTTCAGAGTCTTGGAGTATCGCATCTAGTGAGATGGATAAGTCTCATAACGGATCCGTTAAGGCTTCCAGATATCGAACATATAGAGTAATGGCTAATCCGGATTGGATCTGAACTAGAGACTAACGGGTGAGGACTGTCCGAAGACAGAGACGGATATATAGACTATAGGAATCAATCCTAAGTCTTGGAGTAGACAAGAGTATTGTACTCAAGTCCGGACAGATAACGGAGGGACTTAGAGTCCAGATGGAATGAGTGCAATCTAAGATGATATTCAAACTGATCTACTACAGCGCATGTACAAGGGTTTATATACTACGGATAACTAACGGAATGATCAATAAGCAAAGGCGCGAGGCTATGTACGAAGTATAAGCAAAGTATGTGCACAGCATATTGGTAAGTTGGATGGATCACGAACCATAATCAGGAATGAAGTATAAGTTAAAGCGGATCAGTAAGTGTAGCGGATCAGTAAGCATAACGGAAGTAAAGGATAACCGGTATACCAGTGTACAGGAATACCGAAAGGAGATGAACGCTAGTTAGAGTTATATGAACAGGACATGAAATAAGAATCAGATCGGATCTGTGGACCGGACGACAGATATGTCCATCGGATCTGGATCAGATCTGTACCCGGGAATATGGTATATGACACCCTGGTGACATGTAGTAGGGAGACTAGTAAAGGAGGTGATGAGCTAGCTGAGACGATGAGAGAAGCAAGAGTTATGATGTACCTCGTCAGCCCCGGGCCCATATAAATCAGACTGTGTTTGATGGTGCAGGTGGTCTGTCTCTTCTGAGACCAAGGTGAAGGGTGGATTGTGCATGTGAGCCTAGAAGGG